ATTATATATATGTAGAAGTTATGTATAGCACAGCTATACACACAGGATAATTTCAGGTTATGAAAAGAACAAGAAAATACATAGAACAAATTGAAAATAAAAAATAAATAAGAAAATACACAGGTCAGTATGAAACTGCATATGCAGGGTAGGAGTTCATTTTGAGATCCAGTGATCAATAAAAATGCTTTGTGCATCAGTTGTGAAACATGTTAAATAAAAACCTGTACAATTTCACTCACTTCATATATGCTACGAAACAACTTCTTTTTCTTATTCATAAGTAAAAGTCATGATACAGTACATAGCCATATACTTCTAAAGTTACAGAAGAACATACAGCGGTGTGCTCCAAACACAGTGCATGAACAAACCACACACCCGCACCACACACACTGTGGATGTCCCCGAGTGGCAATGTTCCACAGCAATCCGGGACACAGACTCCGGGGTAAAGTACGGACTAGCAACAGGACTGGGAAGATCCCAAGCCCTTCCTACTGCATGAAGGAGGAAAGATGAGAACAGCCTTGGCCCGGTGGGGCAGCGGGAACACTCTGCGCTGTGATTATCTCGATGTGATAAACACTAAGAGAGGTTCAGAGTTCACGAGAAGCCGAGGAAAAGGAGGAAGCAACACTTCTGGCTGCCCGCCCAGTGCTGCAACACTGTGAAGCTTACAAATACAGAAAGCAGCCTGGAGTGGTGGCGCACACCTGTAATCCCAGCACTCAGGAGGCAGGGGCAGGAGCATCACAAGTTCGAGGCCAGCCTGAGCTACACAGTGAGTTAAAGGCCAGCCTGCACTATAAAGCAAGACCCTGTCTCAAACAAACACTTAACATTATGAAGCTAGCCTGGCATGATGGCGTGTGCCCGTAATCCCAGCCACTTAGGAGGCTGAAGCAGGAGGTCTGAGGTCAACCTGGACAAATTAGTGAAAAGCTCTCAAAATAAAAAGCAAGAAGGGCCGGCGATATGGCTCCACGGTAGTGTCCGGAGTCAATTCCTGGTGCTGTTTCACTGAAAGAAAAATAAAAAAACACTGCAGAACTACCAACATTTTGGCTTTTGGCATTTTCTACATTGCTTTTTCCTCATACACCAGTCCTCAGAAAAGCATAAAATGAGGCAAAGATCTTGTTTTTAAAAAGCAAAAGTAAGGGCCAGGGATGCAGCTCGGTAGTGCTGCGCCCGCCTGGCAAGCGCAAGGTCCTGAGTTTGATCCTTGGTACCAAAAAAAAAAAAAAAAAAAAAAAAAAAAAAAAAAAAAA